AATGGGGGGCGGAAAAGACGGAGGGGCGCGCAATTGTGCTCTCTCAGTGGGTCGAAAGTTTCTAGCAGGTACACATTATTCCTCGAAACTCTCGAATGTGCTTAATTAGGCGATATTTGAGGAGTCGTCCCTTCGCCGCAGCTCCTCCCTCCGAGGTCGGGTTTACGCTCGCAAGCTACTATTACGGAAAGCCACTGGATTTCCGTAAGAAAGCACGGGATGCCCACCGGCTGTCGCTATCAACCTCCTCCCTCTACATCGTAGACGTCTTACCTGAACTAATATTGTTAGGGTCTAATGAGTACCACCCTGACACAGTCTGACCTTCTTCTATCCTATTCCTACGCTTCTATCCTTCTCGTCTGCCTATCCTAACCTGCCCCCCGCCCCCCAGGTCATCTACATCCTCCCTCTATGTTTACGCGTGTTGTACCCCGTTCCTTTCCTTCCTTCCGTCCTCTTCTCGACGTGCATGCACCGCAACCGGGGATATTTCTTGCGTTCTACCCTTTCTTGCAACTTAAAGCTCGCACACCCTCTTCCAGCTCGGTCCTCGAATCCCGGTACCCCTTGTTTCAACAGCCGCGAGAGGCGCATAAGTGCCAGACGGTGTCTGAGGATAGGAGCGTCATCGGACGCTGGCTGCAGCCATTAAGGGGCCACGTGGCCGCGCTTAGGTTATGGACAAATTTGCTCAAACGTTTATCCCGGCTAAGTATAATGCGATATTCTAAGTTTTACGCGGTGTGTAGTGCAGCTTGATAACTGTCGCTAGATTTAGGTTCTTCAAACACCTACGGAAAAATTTTGGTTCTGAATAATTGTTAACACAACTGTTGCGTATCCTTTTAAAATTTTAAATCGGACTCATACCTTGTATTAAAATGGCGTATAATATTTCTTACTGAAGAATGCTGCAGCGTGTACGATACTGGCAAATATCAAGTTTTCGACTCTATACAGATTCAAAATGGCTTCGGATTCATATTGGTCTCAATGGTTAAGTCAGATGTTGATTATCTTTTCAAGATATACGCAAGATGAAGAGAAGAAATTGTTCCAAATATTCGTCTTGACACTATACTAAAACGCTATCAATTTTGTGTTCCAAGCTTGCTGATATCAATGAGTACGTAATACACGTATTAATCGACCTTTCCAATTTATTTTCGTTTTATTTCTAAAACGTTCCTAAAAAATACGATAATAGACGTAAAAGTATTAAAAAAAGTAGTAGACTGGGACAAAATAACCCAGGAGATCCAAATAATATATTTACTGATCGATCTTTTCAACCCCCGTTATTTTATATATTCTCCTGTTTCACTTCCGCAGTAATTATTATTTTTATTTGTGAGTTCTAAAACGTTCCCACTTAGAATGTGTAATAATAAAAGTAACAAAAGTTCGAAAATTGCGTGAGGCATTGCAAAAACTTTCGTTGCGTTATTAAACCTGCGGGCCAGAGTTAAAGGGGGGAATATTCGTGAAAAAGCTTTTCCCAGTTTTACATAGACCGGTGTCAAACTCTTCAACAAGTTGTCAGCATCAATCCTCGCATATTCAAAACGACACGGTTAGTTTTAAACTCGTACAGTTCCAACATACAACCCTAAGAGAAACAAAACTGGCGAACATTGATTACCGGTGAAGCTCATCTTTGCGTTGCACTCGTCGTGTACGGTGTAAATAATCTACTTTTCTGCCGCGTTACATTTCGACAGCCGTGACACGAGTACGTGGAAGCCGGAGATAGATAAGTAGGTCGATAGAACGCGATCCTTGTTCGTTGCATCGCGAAACATGTTTTGCTGGAACGTGGCGAACGAATGCGCCCGGGTAATTAAAAACGCGTCTGAATTTTCTTTCACCGTCCCGTTGGAAAATCTTGAAATCTCCGAGAACGTCACCCCTGAGGGAAATTGTTTCGTCGATCGTAACATTTTCCTCTTTCGACGTTTCTTCGTTTCGTCGAAAACGCCGGATATTGTTTCAAACGTATCTTGGTGTGATTTTAAAAAATAGTATAAAAATCACGTATTGATTCGAACATCAACCAAGTTGTAAAGTCAATTTTGACGTGTTCGATTCTTTTAATGTTAAAGGTTTACGAATTCTGAAGATTTACATTTTGCAAAGTACTCGAGAAGTTTGTAAAATATTATTCTGCGACTGCAGTTCTTTACGGCGACATCTTTTTGTACGCTTTTTGGACGTTGCACGCGGAAAAAAATGTTCCTGTTGTTTTCCTCCGTGTTCTCTATTCAAGATTGCGTGGGCGGCAGTCACGCGAACCTAACAACGCGCAGAACGCTTAAATCGCGTTAAAGCTAGCTGCTGCAAAGCCCGAGTTACGAGGAGGCGGGAAGGCCTTCTGATATTAGCTGTATTATGTATAAACCACTTGTGCCATACGCGCGTCAGAAGAAAGAATATACGCTGCCTCTCTCGAAATATCAAACCATGTGCGTAGAAGCACCACGGCGACTGACATAATTACGCAGGCCGTCCCACATTTCTCCCTTCGTACTCAGACGGTGCGTTCCACGAGAAAAAAGTGGAATAAAATGTCGAAATATAACAAAAAGTTCACAGATGTTAATTTGAGGTGGAAAATCTGTATAGTTGGCAAATACAGGGTGTTCGGCCATCCCTGGGAAAAATTTTAATGGGAGATTCTAGAGGCCAAAATAAGACGAAAATCAAGAAAATCAATTCTTTAATTGAGGCTTCGTTAAAAAGTTATTAAAAAATTAAATTTAACAATTTCAAAGCATTCACAGAAAAATTATTTTTAGTTGCAGGGGTCAATTACAATCATTTTTGGTGAATAGACGTATTCCCGAAATCCTATCCACTTTTGAGAAAAAAAATTCAGGAAGGTGGGTTTTTCGGCGAAATTGAACAATTTCAAACCGTTCTAAAAAAATTATTTTTAGCTGCAGGGATCAATTACAATCATTTTTGTTCAATAGGCATGCCCCCGAATTCTTACGCACTTTCGAGAAAAAAATTCCTCACCGAAAACATAATCTAAGGTCAGAAATGTTGCTCTGAAATTTCATGCGTATGTTTAAAACACCATAACTCCTGAACGGATTGGACGATTTCAATGTTTCAAAAGGCAAACAACGTGTATTTTAGCGAAGAATATGTAGAAATTCCAAAAATATTCGAAAAGTTGATTCTTAACCCCACAAAATGAGAAAACCTCCATAAAAATGGTCCAATTTTCAAACAGCCATAACTCTTACAATAGTGAATATATTTCAATGAAACTTTTTTCTGAAGTAGAGTTCATGGGTACCTACAAAAAAGTATTTGACAATTTTTCTGTAGGGCGTCAAACAAAATTATTAAAAATAAAAAACGAATTTCTAAGAAAAATTGACAGGGGGTACTATATTTTTCGGAAAAAAAAAGAATTTTCAAATCGTTCTAAAAAACTTATTTTCGGTTGTGGGGATCAATCACAATCATTTTTGGTGAATACACATACCCCGAAATCCTACGTATTTTCGAGATAAAAATTGTTTATCATAAGTATACCGTGTGCCGAAAATGTTTCTATAACTTTTTAACGAAGCCTCAATCAATAAATTAGTATCCTTGATTTTCGCCTTATTTTGGCCTCTAGGCCGAACACCCTATATATTGTCACGTACAAAGGTTTTGGTACACTAAATTTGATACAATCATCGATTTATAAATAGTTTCGATAACGAATCGAACGTCACGAAATGGTGGATAGTTAAAGGAAGTGATCTAACTAACAGGATTCGAGAATTTTACCCCCAAAAACTGCAACTGAAAATAGGAGAATTAACGTTTCGATAGTTGTTCAATGAATAAAGTGACTCAAATTCAGTGTAATAGATTTTTTTTATCAATGGGTGAAACTTTTGACCCTTGTACCTTCCCCTTCTCTGGTGCAGTAATGATTTTTAAAATAAACGTTAAACGTGATTCGTAAACTGAACATTTCTATCCCCCTCAATTAGGAGGTTCCCCCTTAGAGCCCAGTAAAACCTGAAAGACAATGCTTTGTGAAAAATGATGTTCATTGTAAGAATCATTGCTATATCTTTGTTTCACGGTCCTTGGTCTAGCGTTTCTGTGTGTGCATTATTGTGTGACTCAAAAAGTTTTCCAATTAGAAGCAGTGTTGAGATTACTTATTTGTTTAGATTGATTCTTAAAATGAACCATAGACGTGATTCGTAAATTGAACCTTTCTATCCCTCTCAACTGCCCAGTAAAGCGTGAAAGACGGCAATTAATAACTACTGTACGAAAAATGAACATGCTAATCCCGGAACAATGTTCATTTTACGAATCATTACCGTATCCTCCGCTTTGTCTATTAGTAGGCAGCTTTGTCTCACAGACACGTGACCAATAAACAAGTCCACCTTCTTGCAAGACGTACACAGACGCCATTGATCGGTCTCAGCCAGTGGTTCGTGTGTTTTAAATATCGTTGTGGCACGATCCCGGAGGCGGCGCATATATTCGTTCTCCTGGCGCGCTAATAATACCTGAGTGAGTTTCACTCGCGACTAAATTGCAGATAGGTTTCGCGTACACATGACTTTGCCCTGGTATATCCCGAACGCTTGTAACGGCGAGGTTGTGCACACCTAGACGGTTCGCGGGAATATTGTTAACGTAGAAGGTCCTGTAATTAAAGATACGTTTAATCGTACTTCCGTACCACTTACGCAAGTTTGAAGTCCCAATAAGCTCGAGTAGAAATTACCTGCTTCGCGCGTTCCTCGTATACTGCACATAATACTGATTTACGGGTACGTGAATGAATTAAGAAACGCGCCGGTACGCGTAATAAATTTATCAAGAAAAATTTGTAGAAATATTCTTGGAGCATTTCTGAGTCTCGAAAGTGGTTGTGTCGCTTTCTTTTACTTGTACGTTATTAATTTCGCCGAATAACGTTGCAGCTTGGACCGATCGTAATGGAATCGTTGGTATTTTTGTTTCAGGGTCGATGTAATCGGGATAAACCGCCCTGCAAGTATTTCCATCCACCACAGCACCTGAAGGACCAGCTTTTGATAAACGGGCGTAATCACTTAGCCTTGAAGAATGCACTGATGCAGCAGATGGGTCTCACACCGGCCCAGCCGCTTGTGCCTGGCCAGGTACCAACAGTGGTACGTCCAAAATTTAACGCGTATCGTTGCACCACGTCTTCTGCTGTTCACACATTCACACATTTTCTTTTACCACGATCGAGAGATGTTGATTTTGTCTGTGTTAGTCGACGATTACTACTAGATTACCCTTTTTGGTAGGCAACGCTGAACAAACGGACGACGGTGCAGTGAGCTTCGTCGATTATTTTGACGAGAACCGAAGATTCGAGATCGTAAATTAACGCGGGAAAATATAGATTAAAATTTCGACGGGGGCGACAATTTACAATTTTTCCTTTTTTTCTTTTTTTTTAAGTTTTTCAAAGTCGCTTCGCCGTCTCCGTTTGTCAGCGTTCTTTTTTATTCGCGGGCATTGCACCGAGAGATAAACCCTCAGAGAGTAAAATTTAGCACGCCGCATGTTTCTGGTCAGTGTCATTCCCTTCTCCTTAACCCTTTCGAGACGGACGAGAACCATAGTTAACGACCGCCTATAATAAACACGGTCAACTATTGTCTTCCAGTCTCAATATCTAAATATTAGTCTCGAGTCTAAATATTAACTTTGTTTTTGTTCGATGATCGTCGAAGAAAGTCTCGAGTTCCCGAAAGGGTTAATTATATCCATGATTCTCGATAGACAGTCAATATTAAATAATGAAATTGCCGAATAGAAGAAATCGTAGTTTTTATTAGCTCTCCTAGATTGTCTGCCATTCAGTACCACGGAATCGTCGATCGAATCATCGTTTTGTTGGTTCGTTAAAAGAATCGGTTCATCGGTGTATCATTTCGTTCGAGTTAATTTGACGAATCTACAAAATCTCTCTCCTTCTCTCTCACTCTCTCTCTCTCTCTTTCTGTCTCTCTCTGTCTCTCTCTCTCTCTCTTGCATGATCGACGATCGAATTTGCAATACAGAGAAGGAAAAGAACTTAGTGAAACAAAATCAGAACATCAATATGCCCACCCGCCTTTTTTTTTATTCATGACATATATATATCATAGTCGTTGCTACGTGACATCAAACCCTATACTACTTGTATGACTGCCTGTCTGTCCCCTATGTTTGCCGCTGTGGCTCTCGTGGTTGTGGTTGATTGTTGGTGTGTTCTCCAATTACGTCATTGGTGAACAGGAGGCACCGGCACCTCCGGCACCACACCATCACCTTCAACAGCAAATCCAGCAGCAACTTCTCGCTACCCACGCCTTTATGGTAACTCCTGGTTTTGGTTGGCTTCCACTAATTTTTTAGTTAATTAAATGCCACGCGACGACGGCGACGACGGTTCCGAACGAGACTGCGAAACTCGTGTTTTTCCAATCGTACAGAAGCCTACCATCGCGATGCAATTTCTATCGAACGCGGATCAGAGAAGTTTATGGACCGTCTTGAGCAGATTTTTCATTCGAAACTCTCGTCGCCGCCGGCGCGTGTAGTGTGCCTGTAAGATTAGTAAGCGTTTGTATGAAAGCTTCGACTTGTTTTAAGAGTGCCGCACTGTAAATTAAAGAAACTTGATCTGCATGCATCACGAGATGTTTCGTTTCTTTGTTAAAAAGAGAAAACATTTCTAGACGTTTTGAAGTTTTCCTATAGATGAGAAAAGCATGGAATATTTCGGCCATGTAAGATCAAAGCGTTTCCCTCTCTTTCGAACGCCTCGAAATTCCACGGATCACCGTCGCGAAAGTAGCTTGTTACTTCGTCCAACTAATTTCTTCCGTTTGAAGGATTACGCGACAACCTCTTTCTTGCCGAGCTTTTATGCGGCAGAAACGCTAAACGACGGTTATGAGATCAACTCTGTCGTCATTTTGATGATAGAGCGACGTAAACCTACCGCGACGGCTAATCTCGACCCACGCGTCTCACAAAACTTACGTTTGTACAGGCTTTGCCTTCCAAATTCGCTGCAGTTGCGAATTAAATTTTCTATAAATTATTCCAAAGTAAAAGTCTTATTACGTGAAAAAAGCATCGAATTACATAAAATATTATTTATACACTGAGAGTATCAATCGGTTGTGTTTTTGAGTTATTTGTAATACAAAATGGTGAATGTAGTCTGCAAAATTGGGAGTGCAAAACTTGTAAAATTATTTTTGAAAGATACAATGCTTCTCATTAGTATTCTGCTCGTATAAGGACTCTTTGTCCGCTTTAGAATCCATTTGTTAATATTAAAAATAACGTTTTACGCCTGACAAATAAAAATATTACCGCTGTTCGTTTGCTTTACATTTTTATCGTCTAGTAGTCGATTATTGCCCGTCTCTGCAGGAGAATGCTACTGCGCACCGCGTTGCGCAGCCGCAGCAGCGCCATCTAGGGTTCCACTCGCGCGAACCGAGCCACATAACCTATAGAACGCAACGTAAATTAATAATTGGATTCCATAACGTCGAATTGATCCGTGACAACAGTTCGAGAGCGAAGGAAACGACCGAGCACGAGGCACGGTAGCTTCAACGGAGGAAAATGATTGTTTCGATCGTGGCGAGAGGCGATTTTCCGGATCAGTGGCCGTTATTGCTCGGATGGCGGTAAAGTTTTTTGGCTAGCGTGCCTCGTATCCCGGGAAGCTTCTGTACATCGGCGAAAGTTCGAAGAATATAAGCACAGATCCTTGAGAAGAAGAAGGAACGGGCGTTCAGCTCATTCGGCTGCGCTTCAAATTACCTGCCTTCGCTTCTGGGAACCCCGTTCCCTGCAAAACCATGTACGCTTCTTGCGGGGACGCGCGCTTGTCGTTGAAACCGGGGTTACAGAGAAAGAAAGAACGATTAAGGCTTCGCGAGTAAACGTGCCGCTTCTTTCCCTAGTAGAATTCGTTTCCCCCGTGTTTTCGAGTTAAAAGTCTCTTTCTCTTATCGATTAACGCTCCAGACATTTGTTTATTTTGGTTGAATCGTTCGATACACCGCGAGTAAACAATTACTGCCAACCGGATCGTCGTTGGAAATCGGACCTACACGATATAAGCTCGTAGACGATTTTATTTCGGGAGTCAACCTTTTAAACTCGTTATATTATATTATAAAACTTGTATTCTTTTTATTATACCTTCGTTTTTGATGGATTGTGGAGTTTTACGAGTCTCCTACGCGATATAAACTCCCGGTTCAGCATAGAACGCGTGGTAAACGATTCTGTTATAACTTCAAAACTATATCGGTTCTGTATATCTTCGCGAAAGTATCATCGGTGGATTCGTGAGATTTGAACAAAATTCTCCGGTTTAAATAACCCGCGTAAACTCGCGAAGCCTCGACGCGTTCGTATCGCGCGCGGGAAGTTTAAACAGCGAAATTTAAAAAGCAAAGAGGGTGGGAGGGGGCTTTTGGGGCGGCTCAGGTTCGAAGGTTAGCGTATCGAAGGGGGCATAATCGGAGACGATCCGCGTGGAGCGAAGGTGGGGGATAGGTTTGTTCTAATCCGTGTTACCTGGATACTTTCCGGGTGTGTTTTCGCAGGCGACGAACCCGTACCTGACCGGCATGCCGCAGGTTGGCAACACGTACAGTCCGTATTTCGCGCCCAGTCCCATCATGCCGGCGATAATGGGCCCGGCGGATCCGACCGGAGTGGGAAGCCCTCTCGGCGTGGTGCCGCAGACGGTAGCGATGCCGCAGAAGATGCCGCGTACCGACCGCCTCGAGGTATGTCTACCACCAAACTACATTCAACAACAACAACAACAACAGCAACAACAACAACAACAGCATGGGGCCCAACACGGCGCAGCCGGGGCCTCAAGGTGCCCGATGGCCGCGCCCAATACCGTGTACCAAGTGCCGGCCGGTCCCCCCAATCAGGTGTCGCCCGTTTCCACGATGCAATCTGTCAATCATCCTCCGTCCCCCACCACCATCACCACCACCTCCTTCTGCACTCCGTTGCACAATCCACACGGCCACCATCAACCGATCCACAACCTTATCTACGTCCACGCGTACTATTGAAGTCGATCGTCGACGGGGTTTCTCTTCTTTCTGTTCTTCTTCGTTTATTCTTCTTTCGCGAGTTTCGTTCCTACGACGATCGGAGCCGGTTTAACGCAGTCTCGAACGATCTTTTCGCTTGCACGCGGCGACGTTTCGAACTAGCGTCCGTTCGGGAACATTTCGGAGGGGATTCGTGGGACGGTCGACGAGCATCGACGAAGACGGGAACCTGGGCTGGAAGTCAGAGATCAAGTCGCCGACACTCGTCGCGTTCTCGCGTGATTTTTAAAAAAGAAAATTACGGGCTCACAGATACGCCATATATTTCTATACATTTATTCGCAACAATGAGTAAATATCGCGTCGCGTGGACGGTCGCGAACGATCCGCGGATATTTTTAGCTTTGTACTGAGCGCGAGTCGCGCGAATATTTCCAAGCTTCGTTGTCGTTCGCAGCTGTGGGATCGCAGTTTCGACGCTGACCCGTTTTTTCAGCGAATTATGTTTGTCGATTTCTTTTCCCGATCTGTGAGGTGCATTTCGGTTTTTGATATTCAACCGCGACGGATATCGCACGGGATGATCCGCGTGAAACTGGTGATTTCACGGATCACTTGTAACCGAGCGAACTAGAGCGAAACGAAGCTCATTAAACGAACAGAAACAAAATGGCGAGTCACGTCCTCAGACGGGAAATGGCTCGCTTGGGCGTGAACGCGGGTAATTCAGGCCGCGGGCACAGAAAAAAAAAAATACTGTTACTACGATTTATATGTACTCTTAGTAATTACTTATGATTATCATAACACTACACCTATGGCGTACGTAAATTTCGATTAAGGGGAAGCATTACACGATAATAGGAATAGAGTTCCGACGGTCGCGAACGGGAAAATTGTCCCGAGGAAATTGTAAATTGATAAGGAGAATTCAAGCAAGTATAATGGCAACGACAAAAACCGTGATGATAATTACGATTATATATTACAGGAATATACAAAAAGAAACACGAGACTATGGCGAAATAAATGAAGGGGGGAAAAAAAAATGTAGGCGAATCGAAAAGTGTGCAACGATCTTCGAGATGAGTTTCTGGCTATATATGAAAGCGTAGAGTAGTTTCTTTTGTTTCGTCTTTTGTTGGCAACAATTTTTTTTATTTTCGATATAGTATATTATTCGACCGTGTATTAAATTTCAAGTAACGGAGTGGAGTAAAGATATTTAAAAAATGAGAGAACGTTTGGAGTAGTGTAAAACTGCTGTGAAACTTGATTTGATCGTTTCGAGAATGATAGGTAAATGGGAAATTATAATAACGTTGCACTGATTTGTAATACTCGAAATATATCCACAGTATTTATACGGATAAGGATCGATAAAATTGAAAATCAATTTGCATTCCTTCCTTAGCACTCGTCGTGGTAACGATTGTGATTTTACAACGCACTTAGAACAACGAAACAGAGATCGTTCAAAGTTTTGTAGCGCAAAGACATATTTTCTACATTTTTTAACTAGTCACTTGCAATTTAGCGCCAAACGAATCTTGGTGTCGTAAAATCCTATTTTTATGAATAATTTTACATTAGATTCAAGAATGCTGAAAGTTGACAAGCATAATGAGTCACACATGTATATCTCAAAAAACACTGTTCACTTGTTAGCAAAGATGGCCTAACAATCGCTTGTACGGTAATAATTTAGTCGTAAAACGAGTATTAAATTATTACTTTTGGCGTAGTCTAACTGCGACGAATTCATTTTGTCAATGTAGAATCAAAGTGAGGTTTAAAAAGAAATTTCAAAAATAACAAAATAAATATTAGGTGATCACTTACGATCATAAAATAGTTTGTCAACCACAGTTTCATTTTATTCTGAAAACGATAAAACAAAATGAATTTGAAAACAAGATTCACATCGTTAGGCTAGTTGCTCTAAGATTGAGGTTAGGTCTAAAACCGATTGAGATTAAATTTCGAGAAAGCATGAAATACCTATTAAGTAGTCATTTTCATTCGAAAGCTAGTCCCGACCGTTAGATATTCATTTTATTGCGCTATAGCTACTGCAAGATCGAGGATAGATTTAATATCGTTGGAACTTAAATTTCAGGAAACAAAATTAATATTAAGTGGTCATTTTTGACCGAAAATTAATACTATCGGAGATTAATTTTATTAAGCTATCAATGTTAGGATTAAAAACGATCGGAGTTGAAGAATAAAAATAAAAGGAGAGTAATTCGACCGTTAGAAACTCATTTTATTACGCTTCTCGACTGTGAGATTGAGGTTGCGTTTCAAGATGGCCGTCGTGTTAGATTTAGAAAAGTTATAAAACGTGTGGTGAAAGGTGATTTTCAGCTCGAGTTTAATTGTTGCTGATTCGTTTTATTACGCTTGTCCCCTGTAATGATTGATGTTAGGTTAACAAAGAAAGCAAGTATTAAATAAATAAACTTTTCAAGTGGAGCATAATCCGTCACAGCTTCGTTTTATTACGTTTGTCGAGTTTAAAATCGTTGCTAGCTGCACCTTGCTTTTCGTGCATTTTTACGTATCGTAGTTTAAACCGTACTCTCACGTATTATGCAATAAAAAATGTTGTTATTATTATTGTTAAGGGATAGGAATAAGCACTTAAAAATTCATGATCGGTAGCGAACAGAATGTCGAATCGTATCTTTGAAGCAGCGACAAATGTGTTTGGCACTCGGTTTGCACGCAACGGCCGCGATTAATTAAGTGCCACGAATTCTCGCGAGCTTTTTGTCGCCGACATAACGAGGAACGTGTCAACGAGCCCGCGCAAGAAAACGTTTTAGAAGCAACAATAATGTTTCTTGCCGCGCCAGCAGCTACGTAGCGTTGAATTTCGCTGAAACTTTCGTCTGTCTCGCGTAGAACCCTGTAAGTTTTATAATGTTCGAGTTTACAGATTTCCCTCGAGTCTGTATCGTTTCTTTTGCCCGGCGGCTTTCGCGAAATTAACAAGTTTCGCGCGGTACTTCCGCGAGAAAATGAATAAAATCAGACGGAGGAAGCGTATCGGCGCAGAAACTCTCGCGAATCGTTTGTGAAATGGAACTCCCTTTTTCAAGAACAAGAAACGGCTCTTCGTAGAAAGCGAATTTAATACGTTTTCCGTGTATTCGACGGTAACGAACCCGACGCTCGTGCGAACAGAGCTACAGAGAGTCCGCGAGTATTTGCCATCGACGCGTGTCGTTCCTCGTACTCGACCGATACGAGAGAAAACTTCTCAACGATTATATTTTTAACGCGATATATCCTTATTACATCAGAAATAACTTTGGTAATTTCGTTCGATATAATTCGAGATTAGTAAGCGTAGTGAACTAGTAAACAACGAGAACGAATTTGTTGCATTTACAAACGGGAGAACCCAAAACTATTTCTTTCAGAGACTTTTCCTTTTAAATGATATTAGTATTAAGCTTGTGAAATTTACAAAACACGTGGACAAATTCATGAGTGTGTATTCAGGGGAACAAAATGAACTCGTAATTAACAAGTCTTAGAAACGTTCGAGTTTCGAAGGTAAAGAAGCTATATGTAGATTGAAAGGGAGAAATGATTTCACCTTGATTACATGCTCGCGTGTTTCTGATAATAAATTAATTAAACGAAATTACAACCCGTTATTAACTTTACTTTGTGCGTAACAAAGGTTCGGAACGTAATTTTCGCGCAAGCTCGATAAATTTTCAATTGTCGAGGGCTATAATTACGAACGACACAAAAAACGATGATTCTATTTTTTTCCTTTGTTTATTTTTTAATGAAATCTCGCGATTCTCAAATATATAGTTTATCGATGGTTCCTCTAGTTCGGTTTCGCGGATCGTTGCACATTTTTAGTCGAACTCAGAATTTTAACATTTTAAAGAATCTATACATTTATGTACGTATGCAGAATACGTTTCTACGCGCCGATCCAGTCATGCATACGCACATAGTAACATGTGTAAATAGTAGGTAGGTTAACAAATTAATTGATTCTGTTTCGTACTGCGAAGAACGAGAGCTCAGAATAAAGGAGTGTCCGATCGAATATGCCCAATCCTATCGAGGCATATTCGATTATTCTTCGTTGAGTTTCGAGTACATATTCTACTCGCATTATACGTATATCGATAAAATTTAATTCAATATCGATCGGTTAATTATTCCAAGTTTCTAACGTACTTTCCAGCCTGGGATTAAAAAGAAATATATCTTTAATTACACGCGTCGGTGTTTTTCTTACTTGATGAACATATATTTTTTTTTTTTATTCTGGTTCTTCTTTCTTTTATACGGGATACGGGACTTCAACGTGATTTCGACTTTTCCTTGTACCATCCATATTATTACTCCTCGTCGAACAACATGTTCAAAGTTTTCGTATATCCTTTGTCTCCCTCGTCTAAAAACTAACTACCGATGTTAGGAATTTACGATTAAGTAAATGAGAAAAAAAAAAAAGAATACGAAAAGAATAAGAAATATATGCAATGTAATGTCGTTAATTAAACTATTGCAAATAGAATTCGGAAATATATCGATCGATTTATCCACTAACTACAATTGGTCTTACGGTATTATATTATTATAATATTTGGTAACATACAATAATGATGATAATTAGTAATCGTAACGATACCTATTTGTGATGTAATACTTGATGACTTGCACTAAGTTCGGGT